TAAATAGATATTAAACAGATACAAGTAGCATAAAAATCCAAGCAATTAGTCGAAAGGAGTTTTCGCCAGAAGTGACATAGGGAGAGCCATCCCAATAGGGCATATTAATTAATGGGAAAGACCAACGATTTTCACAGTACTCATCTGACCCTTTCTTTACCCTTGTGTCTGTCTGCCTCCTCTACATCTGTGAACCACTCTTCTGTTCCCCGCTCGAATTTTTCTCACTTTGTTGTTCCACATCCTCTCTGCGAATCCCGATGTCAGCTAAATGGCTAATGATAACTATTCAAAACGCCTGCCATTTGAAATAATTTATTTATTTATATCAAATGGCAGGCGTCTTGATGGTTATCATTAGACCTTTAGTTGACTTCAGACTTCACAGAGGGGAAGGAACATCAAATCGAAAAAAGTCGAGGGGGGAACAGAAGAGTGTTTCAAAGGTGTAAGAGACAAACACAAAGGTAGAAAAAGGTGAGGTGAGCACTGTGGAAATATTCGAATATGGCATAGAGTGAGATTGTGGTAGTTTGGAGTGAGAAGTCAACTGCCAGTTAATAGACTTTTTTGCTGTATGAATATACGTTGCCTAGGGTGCACCACGTGGAGGTAAGTCTATCGCACACCCCCATTTGAAATAATAATAATGTATTAAACGCTCTTTACTACATAGGTTCTGTATTCAAGCCACTTTGAATAAAGCCTAACTAATTTTGGGAGCAAATTTAAGCAAGAGGGCTATGCTAGAGGTTGGTAGTATTTATTCTCACGGAGGTAATAAGCCTCGAATATGTCGGTCCACGTTTGCTAAAATTCAGAGGTCAACTAGGCGTACAATATGACATTAATCCCATATTTTATAAATGAATTACCACAATTTGCCAATTTTTATCCAATAGGCTTAACCAGATTAAGAGCATGCTTGCATAACCACTAAAGAACCAATGAAGCTACGACCTTGTAAAATGATTGAAGCTTATGCAATAACTTCCATACTATCGTGAATTGAAAAGTGGTAAAAGATATACCGCAAGGTTTACAAATGCAGCGTTTATAAATAGAATAAATGTGATGAAAGTTCAAGTGTTTGATAGCATGGATAATGTTACAAATTTCAAAGAATTTAATAATTCTGAAAATTTGAGGTGGAGAAAGAGTAAGCTTCTTCAAATAGAAAGAAATGGAATGGAAAAAAGGAGTTTTGATTTATCTGAAATCGAAATCAATCAGATGGCTACCTTGTTATTTTTGCCTCAAGAATTGATCTCTTGTTTCCTCATGGTCTTACTTATTGGAATTTGAGTTCATACAGTGAGCATTTTTGCAATTCCTGAGACGTAATACTTATCGCCTCATATTATAGTGGAAAAAAAAACAAAAATTATTAAAGATAGACCAATCACACACGGCCTTGAACCATTCACTTAACTCTGGACACACGATGGAAACGTTGAGGAGGTGGAAATAAAAAATGAAAGGAGAAAAGCACAAATCATGGAACTTTTGCAAAACTTTCACAAACCTCCAACTATGCTAAACTCAGTACATTTATCCATTCTTACAGCAAAAAACTTGGCTGGTTGATTATAGCATCAAAATTCACACCACCGACTTGCAAGATTTCGTTAAATAGATCACTTCCTTTCTATTTCGTAGAAAGACCTTAAATGCGAAATGAACATTTGAAAGAGGCTATATTTGACATAGAACTGGCTAGTGTTCGAGTAACGATAGTGGCAATATGTTGATTGCTATTTCACTCTCTCATAGAATGCGAGAAGAATTTCGAGAAGACTTTATCAAAATATTATTAAGGATAAGGATTTGGGATTGGCAATAGCAAATAAGCTCAGATCTATTTAATGAAAATAACGTTGACGATACCTCAAGGCTGATTTCTAATTGGATAGACTTCTGTTTGCTACCCCTTTCTCGAAAATAGCTGGTGAAAGAAACAAGGAAACATCTCTATAATTCATGTAAAAAAAGTAGTACAAAGGCTTAACTTGAGCATATACCGCGCACTCTGAAGTCGCTTTGATGATAAAATCGTATCTACTACTCAATTGTCAATTAGAAATTATCAGTGCCATTCCGCTTCCTTTGGATACACATCCGATTTCACAAGAAGACGCATCAACCACTTCAATTTTTCACAACTTGTTTATGCTTTCCTTGACAGGTTTTACTATACCTGTTTGATGGAAGCTTAATCTATTTATCATTAAAATCAAACAATTCCATTTTTTGTTTTACTGAAATTCAAAGGAATCATCACCATATCTTCAAATGCTTGAATTTGTAGTTTCACCCCAAACTCATATATTGACAGTAATTGTTAGCCAATAATTTTGATCACGTTTGCTAAGGAGCTCAAAATCGATCCGGACTTTTCGACTTCTATAATGAAGCGCAAATTTCCTAGCATATTCTGAATGATTTAAAGTTATCTTGAATTAAATTTCCTATTTCAGCTGACAAATAAACTATCTTCATGATTCATAAAAACATAGATTTGTAAAGAGACAGAAATAAAAAAAAGAGAAGAAATTACCTTTCTGAAGAATCGTGCTTTTGAGAGCCATTTTTCGAACGGAATATCATTTCCTTAAATTTAGCTCCATAAGACTTCATCATCTTCTTGAAAGGCTAATTTTCAAAAGTAAATGATTGCGTCAACAGTTTATATAAACATCAAAATTAACTAATAATTCAAGTCGCTTACATTGCACTTCAATTCTTTATAAGCCTTTATTATTCGTTTTGCATCTTCCTTGCTAACGACCTGTTGAAGATGATCTTCGGTGGTAAATTTTAAATGTTCCACGCTGGGAAAAAAATATTAGATTAAAATTAGCAGATGACTAAAATAAAAGGAAGAAAGACGTGTTAAAGAGATTGATAGAGTAAAACTTCAAGGGTATGAGAACAAAGGAATCAAATCAATATAAATGTATTCATTCATTGATCATGTCGGCAATTGGCCATAAGCCTTACTAAACGCTCTTCAATAAGTATAAATAATGTGTTCTCGCTACTTTGAATGCATTCTGGCTAATTTCGGGAGTAATTTTATGCACGCGGGTTTTGCAAAAGAGGTAGCCTAGGTTTTTTAAAGACTTATCTTTTAAAAAACACAACAGGATTTACCGAGATATCTTTAATTTTTCTTTCAAATCAGCCTCAGCATTTGCCAGGTGAAGCTGTTCCAGAAAGTATCTCAATGGTGGATATTTATTTTTCTGAGAATAAGAAATAAAGAAGATATTACAGGACAAAAGGAAATAAAATACATAATAAAATGAGGTTTGCTCTTTGTCATTTAATAAGTTGATCAACACGAGATAAAAGGGTTACTGTTAATATAGGTAATTAACTAATAACATTTTAAATTAAATAAGTAGGAAAATAAAAGCAAACCTTCGGACCGAGGGAAGAAAATTTGCGATAATATGCCAAAATTCGGCCTACTGCTGGACCCGGTAAAACCTCTCGCAACTCCTTTTCATCAACCTCTTCCAAATTTTGGAAACTGGTCAAATTTAAAATATATCATTAAGAAGATTCAAAAGCAATATCAACAGTTTCATGGAAAATTTTTTAAGAGAGGAATACGTAAAAAATGCTCCAACACAAACCTCAAAACTCCAATTTTCCGCAAAACATCCTTACAATCTTCCAGATCTAAGAATGCTAAAAGCTGGTGAAGTTGACGAACGGAATCGTTTTGCACATCTATATTATAACAAAAAATTTATTAGAGAAATTAAAAATGATAAAATTTAACAAGAAAAGCCTTGTGAAAAGATACAAATTATTTTTAATTTTATTCAATGCTATCTATAGAGGGATATATGTCGCCTAAAAGTGCCATTTAACTAGTATTCGTTTTAAATTAAAATAGATTAAGATTAATAGGATGCAAATTCTTTTAAGAGCTACTTTTTAAACAAAAACTTTCTCCAATTACCTTCCATGAGCGTTGGTGTTTTGTATAGTGCGGGGTGTAATCAGCAGTTACAGGGTCGTAAATGGTTCTCCACATCAGAAGATTAAAGCAGTACTGTCAAAGGCAAATAATTAAACGAATAGCAAATATTATATTGTTTGAATCTAATTTTATTCTTCTGCGCCATTTTTTATAAAAATATTCAATTTATTTTTGAAATTTGTCATTTGTTTTCATCCTTGTTGTTTCCATTAGCATTATTTCATTTTGCCAATGCTTAATTGGAGTTACAATTAAATAGAGCTTTTGGAGTTTCTAATTTTTGACATTTATAATATTTTGCTTATGCACGATTGGAAAATATCAATAAGGAATTAATTTGATCATTAATTTATACCATTTAAATTTGGTATTGGATTATATCTTAGATAGCTAATCAATTTAATAGCGATTAAATTTTAATGATTTCAGTTATGCTATTCCATCAATAATGCATCTTTGACATGCGTTTTTGTTCCTTAAATTTCCAATTTTCGGTTTATTTTACTTGGACCGACCATCGCTAGTCGCCATCATATGAACCTGTCTTCTGTAAAGATCAAAATTGAATTTATAATTCTCCCGCACACGTCGTAATTTGATTAACCACCTCTATATTTATGGACTTTAAAGCGGTTTATTTAATATTATTTCTACATAATGCTATTTTCTACATCATATAAGTAAAATGATTATTCATCGTTATTCACAACAATCCTTTTACTGAAAGAGTATTATCCTCTTAAACCTTTTTACTCGCTCAAGCTCTTTCAAACACATTTAGTGATCATGTCATCTTAGTATTTAAGATTCGCACAATTTCTATGATAATGACTATATAGTTCTAATTTCGTCTCCATGGGACTTATCCTATATATTTTTAACTTTTCCTGATACTATTCCTTTATTGAGTTTTATTTTATTGTGCACTATTGACGAATAACTATTTAGGTTAAGTGAATCGAACTTGGGTTATAAGTACTTTTACTTCAGTTGAATTTTTTTGACAACAGCATTGGTAAAACCTACAATTTGATTTAATTTCAATTTGGTGGATACTTAATTATTTTTTAATTACCTGCATTCAGATAGTATAGCAATAATCGATTAGAGTTAAAATACATCGGTTTGATGTATTTGTTTCAATTAACCTGTGTTATCCAAGTCCTATGAAACAGGGTTACACTTTGTAACCCTCATAAAATCAAATATCGAACGAATAGAAGCTGGTTTGAGGTTCTACACGTTCATAGAAGCTATATTATAGTGATATATATACATTTATCTATCTGAATATATGTACACTCTTTTTTATTCACTTTAACCTATGTTGGTATGATGATAACTCAATTACTTCCAATAATACATAACTGTAGGCCAGAGTTGTCTTGGAGACGGCTTATGAAAGACCCAACTGTGAGCACTACTTTAATAGATTACACCTTAGCACACAATATTTGAGTAGAAAGGCCAAACACACATGGAAAATCAATAATTCTTAAGTCTTCTTGTCTCATAGAGTTTCTATCATGTGGCCAGACACTGAGGGTGGGATATAATAGATCCCACTTCAGAACCTACAGTACTTAGTTTCCTTCTTTAAGGCTATTCTAAGTTCCGTGGCAATTTAAAAAACAGTGTACATTAAGACGTAAATCTAGTTTGCCCGGGGATGTTTTTGATGAATATGGGAATCATCGAATGTGATAGTGTATAGAATTATGAATGGGCCAATCCAATAATGTGCGAATAAATGCTAACGCTTTATGCCAAAGTTACTTACCTGAGGATTCATTTTGTACTTCATAATGCTTCTTGGCCCACCTTTCTATCATTTTTACTCCAATAAGCATTTAAGTTTTTTTTCATTCCCTATTTCCTTCCAAATGAGAAATTAGACCAAACTAAAATGAACAGCCACAACGGCCAATGAAATGGTAATAAAAGGGAGTTCAAGTACAAGAAGAAATGCCAGTTTTGAACTTTCTGTCATCAGAGCCTTACGCCAGACACAACTTTAGACTCGCATCTTCGAATTGTATCCCTTTCCTCAAACCTACTCTGATTGTATGGATTCTAACTGATGAATCCTTTCGAATTTCCACTAATCTCTGACACCTAATTAGCTCGACTCCATAGTGGCGCTTAAGCCTGGGGTGACCTCAAATTCCAAGAGGAGAACCATCTTGTATCTTCACCAACTTTGTTTTAATTAATAGGATAAACTAATTAAGCAGTCCTCAGACGACCACTGTCAGGATTCAGTTGCCTCCATTTGGAACATCTGGAACCATTCTTTATGCTAATACAGGCTCCTGTGCTTCCTCCTTATCTCCACTACCCTCTTAAATCCTCATCGCCAACGCCTTATGTTCTACTTCTGGCACCGTTGTTGGTTGTCAGCCACTAGTTACTACTTCAAAAAAATTAGTAATCTTGACATGATATTCAAACAGGGAGAAACAACTTTAAAAGCATTTGTTAATGTATATTTTCTGGCTGTAATAAAACAGAATGCTAACCAATCAAGATGAATTACAAAAGGAGTTCGATAACTGAAAGAGAGTGTTAATATGGGTAAGGTTAATAATAGTAAACGCAGTAATAATAATATGAGGCCCTAATTTCCGCTGCCATATGAAGGTTAATTTGGTATCGATGTCTAGGTTAAAAAGAGCGAGATAATACTTAAATTTGTGTTAGTAGCAAGGGGGAAAATATATATATTCAATTCGCACTTCTTCAGCTTTCCTCTTCACCTCTTGTATCTAACGTCCCTGAAGTCCATAGGTCACATAGAACTCCTATTGGTCGTGAGACCATGTCAACCAAACTTGAGGACAACCACTGCAATGAATTTGTCCGATGGCCTGATTCGTAGAGCTAAAATGCAAAAAAAATGTATTATTAATATAGTGCATCGATGAGGACTCATTCCATCTTTAGTCATAACATAGTATCACCTATCTACATGAGGGCTCATTTTGATCTAACTTAGGTCAAACTTGGGGCAAATTCAGTTAAGGTGAGGGATGAGATTAAAAGACTCTAGGCAAAATTGATTCTCTCATGTGGACCTGATCTAATGCTGACTCTGGATCTCATCTAGGCCAACCTTGTCCGTAAACACCTCTTACCATGGACAATAACCCCCCCCCCCACCCACCCACAATAACAAAGTTGTCTATCTACCTCTCCTCTTTCACTCTAGTGATTATCGTTTCTTCCTACTTGGTAAGCGTTCTCGTCCTGTCCATGAGTTTTGAATTCTAGTCTGGTTCCGCTACCTGCTAATAGTTCACTCCTTATACGTACTTTTAGGACGTAGTCTGATGTTCCGTCGATTTCAAAGTTTTGGTTAATGGAGACCAGCAGTATAAGGGCTCAGTGGATTAGACCTTAGTCTCTCCAGGCTCTACTGTTAGCGACTTAGTGGAAAGAGAATAAACTGTAGTAGTCTCTAAATGGTTTGACTACTGCGGTTAACATCTGGAAGTGGTCGCTTCCACGCTCTCCCTGCACTTTGAATTATTAACCAATCCATTAGTATCAGTGGTTTTTTTGCTCTTCCAGGTGACTGGGTATTTTTAAACGTGTCTGTTTAAACATAATATGCAGACTACCATCAAGAAGATAGGGATGAAAGATGTCGGTGGAGAAAAGTGTACGCCTCCATATTTCTAGGGTTGCAATCTAGTTAAAGTATACGAGGCGATGGAAGTTCTAATTCGTAACAGTACTGGAGCCAAAAAGGAACTTGTAAAGCACTGAAACACTTTAAAATGCCCACAGGTAACAAGGTCTTCGTTGAGTCAATTAACTACTATGCCTTTTACACTATTGCACTAATTACGTCTGCAGAAAACAGACCAATTTTTCTCCCCATCTCCCATGCAGCCAAGGCTTCCCCACTCCCAGAGCCATGGCATGTGATTCATTTGGAAAATCCCTTAGCCACGTCTCAATGAAAATGCTTTTGCCTTTGGGCTGATATAAAAATAGCATTATCAGTCCTCTCCAACACTAAAGCGCCCCTTGTAAGTGAACAGATTTCAAGAAAAATCGTTGACAGCTTTTACACAAAGTCCGGGGCTTACTCAAATAAATTAAATGAACCAAAAACAGTCCTTACTCCGGCCATCCAATTGTGATCAAAACTGCCAATAGTCTTAATTACTATATTTAATAGTGTGGGGTGTGTGATGGACTTACCTCCACGTGGTGCACCCTGGGCAACGTATACTCATACGGCAAAAAGTCTATTAACCGGCAGATGACTTTAAACTACCATGACCCCACTGTATGTCATATTCGACTGCTTTCACAGTACTAATCCCACCTTTTTTCCACCTTATCTACCTTCGTCTTTGGTATACTCTTCTGTTCCCCCCCCCCTCTTGAATTTTTACACTTTGATGTTCCATCCCCTCTGTGAAGCCTGAAGTCAACTAAAGGGCTAATGATAACAATCAAAACGCCTGCCATTTGATATAATAATAATAATAATATTTAATAGTGTAAATCCACAGGGGAAAGGAATCCAATCGGATACCGCGAGGGGGCGAAGATGATAAACCAGTGAGAATGTTCATAGAAAAGAAACCAACCCTTAAACACTATGGTTAGGGGCATTGTCCTTCGAGGGCGAACCAATTTCTTGTTGGTTTAAGAATTATGAAACAAGTAGTGCGATTGAAACGACACATCAAATGTCAGCCTTGTCACAGGATTCAGTTCCACCCTCTTCAATAAATCATTTGAAAAGGCTGCTGCTTACATTCCATGAACTGATAATCGAATACGCATTTATCCCTAATTCTATTTTTAAATCATATTCCATTTTCAACCACTGCTGCCCCACTACTGCATCTTGTCCGATTAGTAAACGTACTAAAATATATACACATGAAATATTATCACATGGCGACGGTTTTTATCAAACAAAGCACTGCTGAGGCTTGACAAGAGAGAGAGAGAGACAATAGACAGATAAAGAGATTTGCTGACAGCATGTGCACTTACTGTGTGAAATGCATCTCCAGCGTCCGCCATGCGTTGAGCAATACTGGCCAGATTCTCGTAGTTGTAAGAATGCCTACGTGAACGTCTTCGGACAGGACGACTGTGTTAAACAAACAAAGCAGAAATAAATAAATAAAAAGCGAATCCCGAATAAAAGTGATATATATGCCATGTAAGGATTCAATTGAGTTAATTTACTCCTGCATTTACCAAATATTCCCCCTACTACAAGTCAGTCCAATCTCACTATTATTTTCGACATCCCAGATGCTTCAACCAGGTTATCTAGAATCCTCTAGACATTCACTCACCAACCGTTGCATACATCGCGTCTTTTTATGTTTTTTTCTCTTATCTTGAAATCTGTCGCTTTTCAACCTTTCCCTCTTTTGTTCATCTCAAATACTTTAAACCCTTTCGCATTAGATTGTCTCATTTAAATAGTTTGCTTACGAGAGAGATATAGAGTTAGACTACATCAATAACAAAATCAGGGATTCACAACTTACTGTCGTAGTTTCGTGGGTTCGCAGCAGTCCTTAACGTCGGTAGGAGCTGAAGCTGACCTGAGACGTACAAAAGCGGGGCGCTGCGGTGCTTCAAGGTATGGGGCAATTTCGAGCAACATCTCATGATCTGGCGATCTTACCTCCGCGCCTCCGACCGGAGATTCAGCGTGAGGTTGTTGAAATCTAGAGCAAGGGCTAGATGCAGACCCACATTCATCCATTAGATCTGTTTAAATAAAGGCAGAAAGACACGAAGATGTAGATTCGTGCTCTCTCGATACACCTCCTCCTTGTCTAGAGGCCTACATGTCTCCCTCGATAAAAACCCAAACCTGACACGATTTCTCTTATTTTCCATCTCTCATGTGTTTTTAGGTTTCTTAAACGGCATACATCACACATTTGAGACTATATTGTTCCAATGAAGACACTTTCATCCTAACTTCCTAATTTATTTAACTTCTAAGCCCATTTAGAAGAAATATTTCATGCACTTGATTTCAAGCAGAAGTGAAATATTCTGGAGACAATCAATCGGGAAACTTACATTCTCCCATGGCTTTTGTTGGCTGGCCCAACCTATTAAATTAACTCAACTATGGGACCAGACAGAATCATTAAAGTCCCATGCTTAGCAGACCAAACCCTCTTCCTAACCTATTAAATTACGGACATTGTAGCTATTTGTGTTCACCATCCATGAAGGTTCGCTTAAAGGAAATTTTTTAAGAAGTCATTGATTGGAAAGAGGTAATATTGTAGAGCCACCCTAGTAACAGGCCTCAATACTGCCGCCTTATTTATCAACAAGACCTAACCACTGCGGTTAACGAATCCATTCACTGAATTTTTACTAATGCGATTCGAATTCATGTTCCCTCACCATGTCTTCATCGATGAAGATAACCATTTATTAAGATACTCGTTGAAGAAAAGAAATTTGAACACATTCTGGGGGGGGGGCACTTTTGATGAGAAGCAAACACCCCACTACCTCTTCTTTAACCGAAACTTAATATGATTGACTGTTCTTGCTGTGGCTTCAAACTTTTTTGAGGTTTACGCCTATAGCTAAGTTGTCTACTCGCCAAAATTAGATAATGATCGCAGGATAATTGTTATTGTAGTGTTAAATTCAAGTTACATTTACGAGGGCACACTAATTGCTCAAACAAAGGCCAAGTATTTGGGTGTGTGCGACAGTCTCTCATGCGACAGAAAATGGACCAGATGTATGATTTTCTAAGAGAGGGTTGCATATTGTGGTATGGCTGTAAAGAAAACCAATTTGTATGTAAAACTAATAAGGCTATTGTTGTAAAAATGAGGACAGCAAATAAAATGATCAAACAGCGTGCAATGGATTTGGTAAAATTAAAGTTCTGATATATTACTATATATCACTACTAATAGCAATGAATCTTGGGCATTTAGCTGAAATCCTCCGGCCACTAACAAGCTCAGAAACATAATGAGAAGATTTTGGAACTCTATCTAGTGATGAATTCACTTTTCGCCACACCCCATCTCGACCAATATCATCCAATGTAGTTCACCATTCACATAGGCCCAACTTTACGTACTTGTAAGGTAATTATTAATTAAAATCTTCACCAGATGTCGAAAGTTTTTAATAAAATGGCACCCCCTAATGTCATCCGTTTAGTTATTTCATTTCGCTCTAAGTAGGTGAATCTTCAATAGCAACCACAAACATCCGACATGAAACAAGCGAATTGGTTTTTTTAATTCGTAATTAACGATGCGAATTGAACGACTTAAAGTAGGCATAAATGATGTGGCCGAAAGGATTAGTGTAAACATGCGCATTGTTTATACGCCACTTTAAGTTTGTCTGTTTCCTATGGTCTAAAAATAGACTAATAAGTTTACTTCCCAGTAAATGGCCTATAGAGATTCCCATGCCCAGAAAAGTGCTGACAGCATCGAGGTTATAACTACATGCTAGCTTAAAAGTGACGGCAAAGGATTGAGAAGTAAATAGAAAAATCCAATTGGATGCACTTTTATCATCCAATCACGTGACTCTCAACAGCGCGACTGCAACAGAAACCACCAATTAAATGTTCAAATAAAAAAACGAATGTATATTTACACTAACATTTGCGTATCTCTTAGTGGTGATTAGTTTTATTTAAAAATCACCTAATGACTTGATGATAGCCCTTGTACGAATTCATTTATTGAGACACAAATAATTAATGAAGGAGTTGAAAAATTACCATGAAAATATGAAAATCTTCATGATCATGGATTCTAAACTTGACTCTGTCAAGTGATGAACTTTTAGCAGATTCTATAACGATATGAGGCGCATAAACATATCCTGTTTAGATTTAGAAAACGGAAGAATAAACCAAGCCTAAAAATCTCAATGAAAGTGAAACAAACATTTTACAAAGAAACTTCTTAATTCTCTTACATCTCTAAACGAGATGGAGAGCTTTCGCTAAGGCACATCATTAAGGACAGGCTGTCGTGACTAAAACAGACAACAACATCGAATTCTACTTATCTAAAAGTGTAAACCGCACCCTCTATGGAATTCGCGACGCTGCCTATCACACTCGAGGACAAGGGGTAGTGGTATTGCAGCATCATCGATGGCATCATCCTTCCTCAGGAATAAATGGTCAATGGGAAACTCTGTGCCCTATTTCTGGTCACATTGAGTCATACTTAAGACAGGGTTATTAATAAGTTTATTGAGAGTTTATTTTCATAGTGCCTCTTGGAAAAAATATACCTCAAATACCCATGAGGTAAGTGTTGAACAACTGTTAACCAAATTGCCAAAATATTTCTGCTTTTCTAAAGAGCATTATCAATAAAATGGTAGATAATATTATTAGAAGAGGACAACAGAAGTAACAGCATGAAAGAGATCAAATGACTTAGTGGATTACATTCTAACCCATCCTTGAATGCTTGGAATAACGCCACTTGGTATTTAATTTAAACGGAAATTCCAGAATAAATACTCATTTAACAGTTGGCATTGTCCATTAAGATAACTTTTCAGTTCGTTTTTACCCGAAGTCACCGTATTAATTGTACTTTTAGACAATAAATGAGGCGAGGGGGGACTTCTAGGAATTATCACAATGTAGGTCTTTCATGCGTATGAATGGAATTATCTCATGAATACTGCAGAACCTACCAACACACTCACCCCATCCTGTTATGTGAAGGGAAACAGAAGCAGTGAAAACCACTCTAATCACGACGCCGACAATTCCTACTCCTTTTCTCAAAATTTTAAATGACAGCTCAAGAATAATCAGCAAACTTGCTTACCGAGCATTTCCTCCCCGAACACAAACACGGATGAAGATTGCGAGTATTCCTGAGGTGATTGAGGACGACCAATAGAAGAGTGGGAGAGGCAGTAGTGACAACACTGTTGTTGATCGAGAGCTGATGATTTTGCAGAACCAACAGCCTCTGACATAGCGGGACTTGGGGGTTGCTGGTGAGCACCCCAGGAGGATGCAACCTGAGGTTCTTTCTGCACTCCTTCCAAGCCTTCTTTTCCCTCCCCTTCATATTCTTCTTCCTCCTCTTCTTGCAACGGAGCCGATTGAGGTCGAACAGCTGCAAAGAGACGTCTGTGAGGAGTTGGCCGTGGACAACTGGCTAGGAAAGAGGGAGCAAATGTTTGGGTAGCAACAGATCGGGTGTCTAAACTCAGCAGCTGTCGGTGGTTAGATGATCGAGAGGATGACGATAGGCGACTTCCCAAGCATCGGCACATTTCAAAAATGCAAGAACCTAGATTGGAATAGTGAAATTATAATAGAGGTACTATATACCAAAGATGAAAACAGTTTTCAAGATCTGGTATTTTAGAGTCGGGAGGGGGAAGTGTGTGGAAAAATGAAATTTAATTTAGGGGAATTCGATATTTCTACAAACCGAATGAGCTTACGCTTGTTATAGTTAAATATTTCTGCTGATATATGATCGACTAAGTTCGTAACAGTGAAAAATATTCTCCTGAAAACCCACAAACATTTGATCACGATCTGACATATATTTACTTCTAAGACTCACAAATTATGTGTCAAGCTATTTCTAAAAGATACGAGGATCAAGTGAAGAGTAATCGATCGGGTGACTACAAAACAAGAGGTTGAATTCCACGCAAGAAAAATTGTTGAAACCTGCATTTCGCCATCTCCCTTTAGATCAGTCATAACTATAGCGACAAGCCACCCAGACACCCGGGGATGGGTACGGATGAATATCTTGACAGACAAGCATGATGAGGAGAGCACTATTAAATGCTTCTCTTGGATAGATGCAAGGCCACCGAAGCGCGGAAAATCGAACTTCAAGAATGATACCGCTATGCCACTGGAGATGCCTTATAAGTAAGTAATGAGCTACCAATATCGACAAAATGTGGGGAGAGGAGGAACCGGAGATTTGTGGTCAGAGTACTAGAAGCGCGACAGCTACTTAAAGCTAGCATCACTTTGGATGAGGAGGAGGGTGGAATGGAATTAGCCTTTGGAGTGAATAATAATAACATCGCGACTTCGCCCTTCCTCCATCGCTGACACTTGTCTCCCCCCCCCCCCCCCCCCCTTTTTNCTTGTCCCCCCCCCCCCCTCCCCCTCTTTTTAATCACGCGTGCACAGGCGCACCCTATGAGATGGCGAGGATGAAGCTTTTTTTGGCCTTTGGAAGATGAGTCATTCGGCTACTACTTCTACCTAATGGCCCGTCTCCCGATTGCCTCCATGCTTATTTCAGTATCTCTTAGTCAACTCAACAGGAGAGAAAAGATTAGTGAAGTGAAAAAAAATTATCAGAATTTTTTACCAATCTACAAGTAAAGTTAAACTTCAATGAAAACTAGTAAAATCTCAGGGGACGAAATTTTAAAGGATAGTGGTGTCTGCCAGCAAATGGAAGCTAAGAGAAATCTTGACTTTAAGCTTGAGTCCATAGTTTATTCATCTCATTCTTCCCCTAAAAGTACGAGGAAGACAATGCATTCCCACACTTATTGTTTAAGCAAACCAAATATCAAAATTCTAAAAAGTTTTAGAAAAGGGTAACATCATCTATCCCTTCTCGATTATTTATTCTTTATACTGGATCTGTACATGTGGACAACGAATTTCTAGCATAGGACTCGAAAAACGGTCAACTACATGCAGTGATTCCTGTTGTCAAAATGCGTAATAATACAAGGCTATCAACAAAATACACATTGCTAGAGGTCATTCCCAGAAAATATGCACCCTAATCTACTACCAAATTTTGATGTGGATTTGAAATAGGAATAAATATACCCCACCCAACTATGTAAGTTTGAGCAATCCAATTGAGCTTGTAGTAAGAATCATTCTTTGGAATATTCGAATAAAAAATAGAAAAGTTATTGCAAAGCTTAACCCGTGGAGTAAAAAACCCTTAGAAACGAAAACAAACCAAAACTTAAGGCTTCTGGGGGTTCATTCTTCTATGGTTCGTCACTGATCACCAGAGTCGAGAATACTGATACTTATTTGAAAATAACATTTAAGTGGCAATTTGGATGCACCCAAGTGGAAGGTATAAAGACTTTCAAAAATTAAAGACCCATCATGAAAAAATGTCGATGAATTAGCGAATATTGAACTTTACACCGCAATTTCCATTTTTCTCTTTTATAGAATCCTTGTCAACCCAATGACATATCTTGTAAGACGAATCAATTATTCTAACAGTAGATTTTAGTAAAAACTTCCTTAAATAAGCAAACTGGCATAAACTTAGCGTAAACTATGACAATATCGGGAAACTAATAAAATGACCAGGCAGATAGAGGACAAAGATAAAAGAAAATACCAATATAAAGTTTAAAAAAAGCATTAGTGAATCTCAAATAAAAGTATCACTGAAAGCATCAACCAGTTTTGAGTTAACGGTAGGGTTTCTAAATGAAGACTAAACAAGGCCAACTATTTGAATTGCACAAAAGAAAACGCTCCAAGAGAGATTGTCCTTACCTGTATTTCTCCTACGATCCCGTGGAATAAAGACGGCAGGTGGTGGAGGGGAATGTTCACTGAGATTTCCAATCGATTGGGCCTGATTATGACTTGGTTGGGACTGATATCTATTGGAGGTAATGCTGCTACTGGAAACTGGATCATGATCGCTAATCTCATCATCCGCATCTTCATCTTCGTCTTCCAAAAGGGAGAAACCACTAAGTGCTAGAGGCGCTGACCTGGGTCGAAATGCTCGTCCAGAATTCATTGGCATTATAGGTCGAATGACAAGTGGACTTTGCAGAGGTCTCCATGACCTAGACGTTTCCTGACTGGGTGACTGTTAAACAGAAAGAATATGTAAAGAGAACTATTTATTAGATGACCAAAACCAATTATTCTGGTCTAACTTACTCTTCCGAACGGCGATCTGACTCCATATGAGGACGATTGTTGAATAAGTGAGTCTTGGAAGCTGCTATCGCTGACCTCGCCCATGGTACTGCTTCGTGCAATGATATCAGAAAAACCAGAGTCTGGTCTGCTACCGATGCCCCTGCACATTTCCAAAGCATTGAGGTCACCATTGAGATGTCTCTCAGTAGAGGACATCCGATGAAATTAAGTGGAACCGACTAATAACTAAGAGCGACGCGACAACTCGATTTACAAATATGATTTGCACGACCCTGAGGAGCCTTATTTATACCTAACTTAACGGCCAATAGAAAATATGAACTCGCTTAATCATACACTTTAGAAGTCCCTATTGGCTATTGGGTTGGTGTTGTCGATATTAGCCAATTGGCGCAAGGTGATGCACACGAATGCGAACAATGCAAGGTCGTTTCAAGGCATGCGCTTATTCTGGTACCTCGTAAATAAATGTCCATGATGTAGAAAATAAGTGGATCCCATTAACTGTCTTTTATCTTTACTTTTATTAACCAAGGGGCGAATCAACTATTGCTTATTCAAACTGCAACCTAAATGAATGAGATTAAACTGTGAAAATATGTGGTGTATGGTATTAGATGTGAAGATAAAATATGTGGGACGAATTAATTGTTTAGATCCCTATATTATCATTTCTTTCATGCGGAACGATAAAAAATTTAGATTAAAACGAATTAAGTTTAATGAGCAATGTTTTATACTTAATAAAAGATTAATTTAATTTCATGACTCATCAGGTACTCAGGGAAAGTCGATATTTTATACGACGCATTACTTCAATTCGCTGTTTAATGTTCAGAGTAGCAAATCGGTCACTTAATGCGAGAATCTTGCACTTGATAAATGACAATTACTTAAAGCTATAGCAGGAGGTAATGCGGTCAATTTTGAATCATCAGGTTTACATTCACATTCTGTCTTCTTTCGAGTGCAGAAATAAATCGAGTGGTGCTATGACTGCTATATTTAGCAGCCTTCTCCAAATGTATCACAGAATGCCTCCTACTTTTAAACCAAATTATTTAATTAACTAAAAACAAACCCGTTAATATACTGAAACCAGATGGTATTTAGCCAATCTAAATACTTTAAATAATTATTTCTTGAACTGTATCACTCAAGAGTGCATTCCCGCGTTCAAGAAAATGGTTTTCAAACATAGTTGCTTGGGCTAAAAAATCGATGGGAATGCGGGCGTGGATTAAAATCGATAAAGTTCTATTTACGATATTATTTTACGCTCCAATACTGAAACATTCAAATTAATCTCGATACGTATTTTTCGACAATTTAATTACCAAAAATTGTAAGAATCTTCAATCTTCTATAAAACGACGAATAGTTGTAATGATTTCTGTAGCATTTTGATGTGACATTTCAGCCAATTTTATCCGTACTGTTTATGATGGACTCGACTCGCTCCCTAATTATTTCGTCATCATTTTGTAAGTTAATGTTCTTTCGCATAGGCATCTACATGGATTTCGGGGGGGGGGGGGGGGGGGGTAGGCAGATAGCGTTCTGAGACGAATGACGTCATCTCCACGGTCAGCGATGTGCAGTCGTATGCAGTAGGTACTATTTTTGCACAACCAGTTAAACTTCCACCTACCCCTCTCACTCCACCCTTGCCTACGCCGTCCACTTGTGTTGTGCTTTCGCGAGTTGGGGCAGAGGAGAATACTATCTCTCGCTCTGACAACATTCCTTGCTTTATTTTCCTGGCTTAACAACTGGCTCTGAACTGGAAAGTATTCACAACAGTCGATGTGTATCATTTTTGTGTCAGAAAAAGATAGGGCTCACGCACTCGAGTGGTGGCCAGCTGAGAACATAGCAAGGACCGGGTTCAGATTAAATGTTTTCAAATGGTGGAGGAAAATGCTCGACGAGTGGTGCACTACCATTCAATCTCTACATTCACGTGATTTAAGGCCTAACTTTGCTTCAGTTATCATCTTCAGAGATGCCAAATTTACTTCGAAATATATGAACGTTAAAATAGTAAAAGAAGATATAAATTTACCTTACAGCCATTCCAAGTGCATGGTTTGCAAATGCTTTTTATTTAAAAAAAACTTGCTTAGGTTCGTAAAAAAGTAATAACAAAAAAGTATGGGTGAAAAGGTATCTTTAACCCTGAAAAAATTAAATTAGCTACCAAGTTGATGGAGGGACTAGCTATTCTAATCTTGGAATTAATTAATGTTAAAAGAAATACGATATCAAGATTGAGGTATAATTTTTAAATCTCATATCTCCTGTTTTAAATTTATCCAAACCCTTGTCTAAATTGAATTTATTGACCCCAGGAGGAAGCCAAGATGGGAGTTCACCAAAAAAGAATGAGAAACTTGGGAGATATTACTAGGATTGGAGACTTGCAGCCACAAAGTGTAAGTAAAAGATAAAGTGTGATGAATCGATCGTCACCAACGCAAAGATGCTCTACCAACTGACAAGTCGGTGACTAAATGCTTTGCATATTATCTGTAAAAAGGATTGTCTTTGAAACCATTTAAGATCCTTGAATTCGAATCTTCTAAATGAGGAAAACATGTGTTAAGATAAATTTAATCAAATTATAATCATATTAGTGGGGTGTACGATGGATTTACCTCTACGTGGTGCAACCTGGGCAACGTACATTCATACGGCAAAAAAAGTCTATTAACAGGAAGTTGACTTCTGACTTCAAACTACCATGACCTCACTGTATGTCATATTCAACTGCTTTCACAGTACTCACCTCACCTTGTTTCTACCTTTGTGTCTGTCTATTTTACATCTTTGAAACACTCTTCTGTTCCCCTCCCCCTCCTCTTGACTTTTTTCACTTTGATGTTCCTTCCCCTTTGTGGAGCCTGAAACCAACTAAAGGGCTAATGATAATTTTCAAAACGCCTGCCATTGCTTGCTTTTCAATTCTAATGTCACATAAGCGTACTTAAAACTGAACTGTTTAATCCATCCAAAACTTTAAACGCAGCCCAGTGATTTAATATTGAAAATGTCGTTCCTCAAAATGGCACTCGTTGTTATCCATTTGACATCTAAAAAATCGTTCATTTATGTTAACTTTAGTCAGAGGACAAAGAAAACTCTATGGCATCAACTTTTTGTTTGAAAGAAGTGATGGTTTTAACATTCAACTCTTTTTATTTGGTTATGATCCTCTGACATTATTTTTATAGTCTTCGGAAAATGCTAAATTCATTCCTTAAATTAAAACTTTGGGCACTTTTTTTGCACACTCAAGCTAATAATTTATGTTTTTTACCATTTTCGTTCTGTTGCTATGGCACGGGATCCCTTTTGCAAGGCCAATTGAAATAAGCAAACGAAATATCGATTTCTTCCAGCTGGCCTGTTCCCCTCCCCCTCCACCCCCTGGAAATCTGTTGACTTTCAGTTAGATTACAAAAATTGTTAATCGATAAAAAATCGTGTGACTCTAATTGCCAGGCAAGAGTAGAGGTTTGTTTACATGGGGAGGAATTCCCTATGGTTAAACAATTCGTGCTGTTAAATTACAGCACATGCCTTCTTCGTAACCTTGAAATGAAGCATTATGCATTAGTATTTTCATGATATCTAATGAAATTAATTATTTTTCCAAGAAGCGCCTTTCAAAAAAGAACCCAAATGTCTGATTATTTGAAACAATACACAGCTCTAATTTATCATAATAAAAAAACTGAACATCATAGCCAGTAAAAACCAACTGATTATAGCGGTTAAGGAGCACAAGATATGTAGAAAACTTACCCTCCTACGACCCCCACTCCACAAAATCCAATTTTCAACCAGAGTTATAAACATCTGCTGGATAGTGATTTCGAATCAAAGGGTACTAAGCACTGCGAAACTATCAACTTGATACAGAGGGATAAGGTAAGTAGGCGTTTGAAATCATAATACAGCAATTGGTACCTCTTTGCTTTACGAACGTTTGCGTCTTCTGGTATATCTGTATCTATGCTAGAAAGCTAGTTGTTACATCGTAATAATGACGACCTGCATCTGTTTGCACCTTTTTAATTCAGAATTTCAAACAGAGGCTATTTCCAATTTTGGTTTTTAGGGCAAAAGAATGCATTTTCAAGGAGATAACCAAAATCTAGTTACCTGGTGGTGTCGTCACTTTCACCCTTAGAGTTAGGTAGATCATTGAGTGTTATACTTCAAAGATATACAGTCAATTTCATTAATTAAATTATAATCCCAAAAGAAAAAATTTTGCAGGTAAATATCGAACCTAACTCAACCAACACTCCAGACACTTTAGTTTCTTGTAAAAGAATTGATTAAAAATGAAAAATAATAAAAGTCGGTTATAAAATTTACCCTCGCCAACGGCTGGTATGGAAAAGAGGAACTTGCTTTTCCATAGTACTTCTTCTTCATCTTCTTTGCAACAGTGTAAGACTTACATTTTCATGGAATTATTGCTAGTTCGAAGTTGATTAACAAAATGAGGAGAAAGTGTTTCATTAATTTATTTATTTCAAATGGCAGGCGTTATGAAAGGTATCATTATCCCTTTAATTGACTTCGGGCTTCACAGAAAGGAAGATGAACATCAAAGTGGTAAAAAGTCGAGAGGGGACAGAATAATGATTCACAGACGTAAAAGAGACAGACAGACACAAAGGTGGAAAAAAGGTGAGGTGAATACTGTGGAATTATTCGAATATGAAATGCAATGGGGTCATGGTAGTTTGAAGTCAGAAGTCAACTGCCGATTAATAGATTTTTTTGCCGTATGAGTATACGTTGCCCAGGGTGCACCACGTGGAGGTAAGTCTATAGCTCACTCGTGTTTTATAAATAGAACCTCCTAAATCGAAACAACTATTGAACTACTGCAAAAGTCATTCCAAAGTCTCTCGACGTTCCTTCTTGAATAAACTTATAATACAATAAATTAACACAAATAATTAATATAAATAAATTTTCCTAACCAAAGTTGGCTTAAATGTGCTTTCAGAGGTCAGTACCAAGTAGAGGCACAAAGGAGACATTTTTTGCCGAATTGGTAATATTTGAAGGTATAGGGGGGGAGCTTAAATGATCTAAACTCCATGAAAATGCGAAAAGAAGAGGACCAATTGCATTTTTGAAGTTAAAAAAAGAAAAGGAATTATCATTAATAT